CTACAGGGAAACAGTTTTCCAGCTTGACTAGTCCAACAACCGTTACCAACCTTTCCACAAGTGTAATCACAAGAATGTAGGAGAAATGTAGGAAAGTGTTCCTAGAATCTAGGAAAAATATAGGAGCAAATGTAGGAGAAAATGTAGGAAAGTTCTAAAAATCTAGGAAAGAATTAGGAGAGTTTCCTAAATGGATGAGTGAATATAGGAAAGATCCTAAAAATGGATGAGAGAATTTTAGGAGAGTTTCCAAAAAAATGGATGAAGAATTTAGGAAAGTTTCCAAAAAAAATGGATGAGAGAGTTTAGGAAAGTTTCTTAAAAAGGTAGGAGAAAGAGTGTCCAAGTGAGTACAAAGAGTTATCCAAGTGCTTTACTTAGTTTCCTAATGATTTTGGAAACAAGTTAGTTTTTGGAAACCTTTTGAAAATCCTTTCCTCTTGAACAACTTTTGGTAACCTTCTTGAAACAACTTTTGGTAACCTTCTTGAAACAACTTTTGGTAATTTCTTGAAACAACTTTTGGTAACTTCCAAATTCTACTCCAAGAAAGATTGCACAAATCAGATTTGGTTCTCTATCCAAAACAATTCGGTTGCCCCTTTCTTTCCTTTCCTTTTTTTTTTCTCTTGCCAACCAATTCCTCTTTTCTTTCTTCTTTTCTTCTTTTTTGTCTTTTTTTTTTTGACTACAACTATCAACCACGACACAAAACAAGGAAGTCCAAATAATAACTACCAAGAACTCCAAGATCTTTCAAGAACTTTCAAGGAAGTTGTCAGGAACTTCAGAAATTTCAAGATTGTGATCAAGAATGCAAGAAACTCAAGATTATTGTAAGTTCTCTTCAAGATTCACAAAATTCCAACAAGTTTTGCCAAAATTCAGATTTGAAAACCAAGTAAACAAGTTGGATAACACAAACAACAAGGCTGGACAGATTTGTATTCGGATGAACAGTAACTATAAACAGTGTCGGTGAATAGTAACGATGAACAGTATGATGAACAGTTTTTTGTGAACAGTGTCGGTGAACAGTGACTCTTTTTTTTTTTTTGGTTCTAAACAAACGAACAGATTGGGATAAACATATATGACTCAAAATAAACGGAAAAAAAAAGATATAACCTGGTGGTTGTCGACTAGCTCTGGTACCAACTGATGTGAAACCCCGATCTAGACAACCAAAACACCATGGATTAGGCAGCGGAAATTTGACTCAACTAATCCCTTGAAGTCACGAATAATTTTGATATTATCTCAACCCGTAACTACTCGAATTAACGAACCAAATTGGAGGTAGTAGAACGCCACAATCAAGGAGATACTCGATTGATAAGTTCGGGTGAATAACTTGAGAAGATTCTCAAGTATTCAAAGGAGACTCTCTTGCCAAAGAGAAAGTGAAAACTCACTAATTGTATTTAATAGCCAAAAACTGATCTCAAAACAAAGAGGAAGTGGGGCTATTTATAACCCTTACAAGCATTAACCCTAATCCAAAAGTTGACCAAACTACCCTACATACTTAAGAAAGATTTTGGGCCTTACTTACTAACAAATGGGCCGCAATTAAACTATCTTAATTACCTAGACTTTTTAAAACGAGAAATAACCAAAATCAACGAGGAAAATCAAATAATCCTACTAAACTCAAGCATTCGTGCAATCAACTAGTCTTCACTTGAATCTTCCAATTCCCCATGTGCTTGAATGGGCCTTGGTCTTTATATTCTCATCATTTTGTGTGTCTCTTTGTAGCATGTCAACCCACCTATTTATAGAGAATATTATTTGGTTAAAACCCAAATAACAGTAGGAAACTAGTGCTAATTCCTAGATTTATACAAAATAGGAAATTACTTCTAAATTCTAAGCAAAATAGAAAATTTCCTAACTACTATTTCAAGTAACTAAGGCCTTGTTTGGCAAGTAAGTTTTTGGCCCAATTTGTCTGCTACAAGTTTTTTAACAAGTTTAACTATAGTAATCTCAAAAAATTTCTCAAAATTTTTAAACTATACATTTCAAAATATCCAAAAAATTTACACACTTCAAAATTTTTTTCTACAATTTCTATAATAAGTTACAGTAAAATTTTAGACAAACACTCAAAAAACTCACTTACCAAACGGGGCTTAAAACTAATTAGAAAACTAGTTATTTCCATACAAATTAAGAAACCTACATAAAAGAAATTAAAACAATTTTCTAACAAATCTCCACCTTGGTGAATATTTCTTTTAGCAATCATTTGTCTTTAACTACCAAATAATATGATACCGAACTACACATTCAAATCAATACAGTTCTAACACCAAATTGATTCAATCAGCAAATGAACATGTGTAGTTATCCCGAGTCCAATCTCTAGTCGACTTGTGAGAAGGTGCCTCAATTTACTATCTCTCTTTACAGGATTTCTTCTCACCACCACTTGCAACTTAGGATTCGCTTCTGTGAGTTCTATTTCCTAACTATTGAGACAATTAAGCAATAAAATCATCATATTTCTTTCCATTTTCAGAACTGTTTCACCATGTGTGATTTTCAAAACTCCACCTGCAACATAAAACTCGTTGCCATTAGATTTTTCTAGCATTTGAAAATTAGATTCCTTTGTTTCTTTAGGACATATGTCATACCATCTAAAGAATATAATTGGAATCTAAAAATCACCAGAATGACATATCAACCGATGGAATTGCAAGAAAGTCTCCACCAATTCACATCCGAAATCAATATTGGACTCCACCTTTCTCCTTAACTCTTGAATCACCTACCTAAATTCACCGTCAAGTATCTCCATACTTTTCGACTTTCCATTATCCACCTTCAATACTTCTTACCAAACTTTTGAAATAAGGATATTACCCATTAAATTGTTTAATTAGTAATAGCCAGCAATCCACTTGATCTCAATAGTTAACCAGGATCAACCATGAACTCCGCCTTGATATTAGTTTGTTGGAATTAAGTGTTTGTGAGTAGTTTAGTCTCACAATCAAGCTCTGATACCACTTGTTAGGATTCAAGCACAAAAAAACAACTATTGATATATTAAATACACAACAATTTAATGACAAACAATCATAAGCATGAAAGATAAATGACACACAAAAATTAATGTGGTTCGACTTTATCATTGAACTTATGTTCACTGAGAGAAACTTATTCTTTATTATGAGAAGAAAACCATATACAAGAATACAACTTGAATTTAAACCTAACTCTTGTATACCATCTCTTATCTCCCGAGAACTCTCTCATCTCCCAAGAACGCTCTCTTACACCTCATGTATAAAGCTATATGTCACTATTGTGTGCTCTTGTGTGTCCCTTGTGTGTCTCTTTGTAGTATGTCAACCCACCTATTTATAGGGAATATTATTTGGCCAAAACGTAAATAACAACAAAAAATCTGTGCTAATTCCTAGACTTATATAGAATATGAAATAACTTCTAAATCTTAAACAAAATAGAAGTTTCCTTAGTTTCTATTTCGAGTAACTAAAACTAATTAGAAAACTAGTTATTTTCACACAAATTAAGAAACTCGCCTAAAAGAAATTAAGCCAATTTTCTGACAATATATGTGTGTGTGTGTGTGAGATGTCCCAGGCAATTGGATAGAATTTTCTAACCTCATGAGAGACAATATATGATTTGACTTGTAAAAGTGTTACTCGAATAGTGTTGGATACTTTGTTGACCACAGTTCACTAAGTGAGATAATTGCCACCTCTAGCAGAAAACAAATCCAACTGTAGCAAAAACAAATCAAAACTACCGTTCAAACCTCCTTCCAATAATGGTGGCAACTTCATAAACATGTGAAGAAAAGCCAAGCCAATCAATCCAGCATAAAATCTTGTTGCTGATTGAATGATGGATTTGTTCTTTTGCTTGGTAAAAAAATATCTAATAATACTATTATTGGAATAAGAGAAAAGGAATAGTATATATGCGGGCCTATGAACTATTAGATAAATTGAATTAATTATTTTGAACTCATGATTTCACTTAAAAGTTATTTGGGCTAGTCTGTAGATTCGAGGAACCAACAGTCATTTGGGCTGTTGGCCACCACTAGAGACTTGCCACAATAAGTCATGGTGGGATGGGAGATCAAAGGTTTAATTCTCAGTATGTGGTTTTGTCAAATTTGCTTCCTAATCCAACTCATGTTTCCTAATCCAACTCTAAAACTAACAAAAACAATTAAAGTCTTCCAAATTCCACCAAAAATATCCATATTTGACTTGAACTAGGAAATCTCCATGCGCGATAAATTCCCGAGTCTTCAGGACTTGAATATAGGTTCCGAACATACCACCACCAAATTAGCAGAAAATTGCCCCCTTGAATCATGTTTTGGTTATTTTCCTACAATTAGCACCATTAACCAAATATAAGTAGAATCCATCAATTAAAACAATATTTGGTAAAGTAAAAGAGGAAAATAATCATAAAATTAATGATAAAAATGCAACCTATTACTATTATTGGAATAAGAGAAAAGGAATAGTACATATGCTTGGGCCTATGAACTATTAGATAATTTGAATTAATTATTTTGAACTCATGATTTCACTTAAAAGTTATTTGGGCTAGTCTATAGATTCGAGGAACCAACAGTCATTTGGGTTGTTGGCCACCACCAGAGACTTGCCACAATAAGTCTTGGTGGGATGGGAGGTCAAGGGTTTAGTTCTCAGTATGTGGTTTCCTCAAATTTGTATGAGTGCGTACTAGATCCATCTAGTCTGATGGTGATTCAGTTTTTGTTAGTTCCCCTGTAGGATTAGGCTAAAGTAGAAGCAGGAATATCGTATAGAACAAAAAAAAAAAGTCTATAGATCCGAGGAGTTACAAATGATATTAGAACAAATTTAGAACAAATTTCGCATGGGGTGAGTTTGACCCAGGGCATTAACAAACAGTTCAAAGTAAATTTGAGTCTAACCCGGGCATTACAAACAGTTGAGAGTAAACTTCCTATGGGTCATGCTAGTAAACTTTGCATGGGGGTAAGCCTAACTCGGGGTGTTACAAATGATATCAGACCAAATTTTGCGTAGAAGTGGCTTGGAACCAATGGTGTTATAGTTAAATGCCACGATGTGGATAGGGCATTCAGGGCAAACTTCACGGCATGAGGGCAAGTCTGACCCAGGGCGTTATATCTGATATTAGAGAAAATTTTGCTTGGGGGTGAATTTGGGACCAATAATGTTATAGTTTGATTACGTAAAGTAGTGCAAGAAACTAAGTATCACATTGGATAAGGTTTTTCAGGATGTTATAAATAGTGTCAGGGCAAATTTTGTGTGAGGTGAGTTTGGACCAGTGGTGTTATGACGGATTTTGTGAGAAAAGTCCTTACGTGAGGGCATGAGTGAATAATGGGTTTTACAAGGATGCAAAGTGCTTAAGTAGGGTGAATGTGATGCTCCAAAAAGAAGTCCCATATCGGGTGGGATAAGAAAAAAGGAATAGTATTTATGCCTGGTCCCATAAACTATTAAATATCTTGGACTAACCATTTTGAACTCATGATTTCATTACCGCCCACCTTTTCTACTTGGTCCCATATCGGGTGGAGATGTTCGTTGCTGATAGCGGCCATGATGTACTATTTTTCTATTTCAAGGTACTTCAACTTGTGAATGATGCTAGAAATTGTTATTTTGAAGATTCTACTAAAAAGTACGATGATGAAACTTTTGCACAAATGATGCTTCTTGATGCCTGTTTCATTATCAACGACATAATTTCTAGATGCAAAAGTGGCGCAAACTTTTACATCACACGCTATTGTCTTGGTGACTTGGCATCGGCAATTGTACTTCGTGACATGTTTTTACTTGAAAATCAAATTCCCTTCTGGCTTCTTAAGTTTCTGATGTGTTTGAGATGTGGTAAACAAGAAGGTGAAGAGATGCTCAACGAGTTCTTGAATGGGACTATGTTCGGGAATTATAAGGGGAGTGGAATAGCTAGCAGAGATAAGGACCTACCCCATCATCTTCTGGACGCTTTCTGGCTAGTTCTTGTCTCTGAATCCTGTAAAGACAAACCAACCTCTCCAAAATCTAGGGCCAGCAATGACTCTGTCTGTCTCAATCAATTCAAAAATTTTGGCAGATGCAGCAATCTTCACGAGTATATTTGCAATTTGCCATGTTTTCTGTGGTGGAGAAGATCAAATATTGACAATGATTCTAACACAAAAAATACGTTCACTGCTTTCGTTCAGCCACGGAGTTGAAGGCCAAGGGAATTCACTTTAGGCGCAGCAGTGCTGACTCTTTGAAGGGCATCAAGTTCAAATCAGGTTATTTCTATGCAACACTTGAAGTTCCAATTTGGTTTGTTTCGATTTACACCAATGTTTTCTTTTTAAATATGATTGCCTATGAAATGTGCCCAAGTACCAGCACTGACCGAGCAGTGACAGCATATATTGAGTTCATGAAATCGCTGATCGACAGCCCCAAGGACGTGAAAGAACTAAGAGAAAAAAAGATTTTGCTCACAACTTTGGGCAGTGATGAAGAAGTGTTGAAGGTTTATAAAGACATAAACACTTACGGGGTGCGGAATGTCACCATTTTTCATGGTGTGAAGGAGAAAATTCAGGCACACTATAACAACAAGGCAAAGACATGGCTGGCTGAACTTTTCTACACTTATTTTAACAGTCCCTGGACTGCGATTGCTTTATTTGCTGCTGCTTTCCTTCTTGTCTTAACTTTTCTTCAGACCTATTATACAGTAAGGCCTTCTTAATTCCCTAAAGATAATTAGAAGTTGAAATAGTAACGGTAAAGACTAGAGTTCTGTGGACGGTATCAAATTAGTATTTAAAAAAAATTTTAGGGACTGTATGGAACATCTATGTATTCTGGGTGTATGTATTTTCTTGATTTGACGATGTTGTACAATAGACTTGTGTCATATGTTGATGTTGTACAATAGTCTTATATTATATATTCTTTTTCCGCACTTAGTTCTCCAATGTTAAGTTTTTTATCTTTTAATTTATGGCATGTGCATCAAATTTGGATTAGGGGGACAGGCAAGTGAAATTCGGGATTGGCACAGGTCCAGTTGTGCTTGGTTGATTTAACTTTCACAAAAATTTGTATACACATACACCAAGATTTATGTACATGAACTAAATTTTTTTTCCTGAGTTATGTACATGAACTAACAATCAACATATACACCAAGAATTACTATATATTGGTATATTTTTTCCTGAGTCGTGTACATAAACTAAAATTACTTTTTTTTATGCATGTGCATCTATAACTATTGATCGATAACATACCGAAACTAATGCTCTTGTACATGCAATACAATGAATGTAAAAGAGCTCGATGAGATTGAAATCTTGGCTTGCCATATACTCCCTCCGTCCAGTAAAATCTGTCGTACTTTGGGAACAACGCTTTTTATGCACAGTAATATCCAGTTATCTGTAAGTTCGTTTGTTCCAAGGCCCTTTACATTTCACTGACTCGTCCAAGAAACAAACGGGTCAAAGTGGCCCATAAAAAGCACTCCATTGTTTCAACTACAAAAAATTCATTTCTTTACCAAAATCTCCTTCATCCAAGAAACAAATGGGTCAAAGTGGGACCTACCAAAAAGGAATCTTTTGTTTCAGCCACAAAAAACCGGTTTTGTGATAACTCGAGAGAAATCTTGAATAAACTTAGCCATTATTACCCTTATTTCATCATTTGAAATATTATAGATAACAAATAATTGGTCAAATTAAAGGACAAAATTTAATTGTTCTATAAATTGAGGATTTAGCAATATCCTAGAATAGTGTAGGAAAACATATATATATATTTATATATATAAATTTAACAAGAAGAATTTATTCTAAATATTAGTTACACGAATCAAATAAACATCCGATATGCATATTACCGTTTGTGACCTTTGAATATATTGAATAGTGGAATAAGTGATACGTCTAGTTGAATTTCTTTAAGATCAAGTGTAAGAAAATCTACTGGATAGATATATTTAGAAAGTTTTCAAGGTAAATGCAAAATTGGAACAAACGGAAAATTTTGAGTCAAGGTGTGAGGCAATAAAATTTCGGGTTCATGGCAACCAAATAAACTAAGATGAAAATACCAAACTAACCACCGAATTTCAGATAAAATACCATGCAACCAAGACCCAATCATTAGAAATTTAACAAACAAAATGGGTGCTTGAGGAATTAAAACCAATTGGAGGTCAACTAACTAGCTATTAGAGCAAACGGTAGAGAGGAAATAAGTGGAATTTGGCTGCTGACTTGGGACGGTGGGTAGCTCTCGTCTGGACAGCTGCCCTGAAGGAATTTGCTGAGTATGCAGTGACCGAATGAGGTGAACATTGGATTGATCAGCACCGAATGAAGAAGCTTGAGTGGTCGGTGGAGTGAAGGAAATATGTTCAAATGCTCTTCTTACCAACCAAGCATTGGAAACCAAATCGAGAGTGAGAGTTTCGGTCATAACCATTCATGCCAAAACACCACCGAGTGAGAAATATTTCTGGTTCCTCTTGTCCAGCTTGCAACCGAGAGAGAGAGAGAGTGAGGGAGAGAGTGCTAGCTTTATCTCTCCAGCTCGCAACCTCATAACCGTGAGCCAAAGTGAGTGAGAGGGAGAGAAATCTTGTTAGCTGCATCATCCACAGTTTTAACCGAGAGTGAAAGTGACGTAAGGAAGAAGAAGGATTGGAGCGGAAACTTTGAGGAGCCGCAGCAGAAAGCTAAGAGTAACCTGCAATTACCGGATTCTAAAGGAAAGAGGAACTCATTTCTGGCCTCTTTCAACTGTGAGAACCAGCCACAAAGAAAGAAGGAATGCAGTCTATCGAGTTAAGGATGGGAGAGTGAAACCAGAATTTTATTTTCTTAACTTAGGCCATAAGAACCAGAGGTAAACTACTGTCCTCCTCTTCCAGTTCTTCCACGTTTAGTTAGTAGTCTTTTAGACTGAGTTGGAACCAAGTAAAAGAAAACTTTCTGGAAAACAAAGGTTATCAAAGTTGGAAATGTTAGTTTGAAGCTGCTATGTGATACTTGATGAGCTAATCTGCAATTTTCCAGTTGTATCTTCTGTTGCATGTCTCACATACATTTTCTGGTCACATATCTTAACATGCATATCACCTTTGAGAGGTTAAAAGCAAGGAAAAGATGAATTAAAAGCAGGAACATTGTTGGAAATTTTAATGAGGACCGTAGGAAGAAAACTTGCTGGAATTTTCCAACTCTATCCGAGAGAAGGAAATGAAGAGGTTTCTAGCTGTCCTCATGAATTATGGCCTTGAATCTCTATGTTAAACTGTAGTATATGATGTATAATAGCTGGTCTGAACATGCATGGAATATTTGAGCAAGAACTGAAGTGATTATTGGAGAGAAAATAGTGTTGAGTGATTGCTGCAACAATTCTGGAAAAAAATGCAGAAGGAAGAAGATCGTGAGCTGAACCAGTATTGTTCTGATTTCCCTTGGCTATAAACTTGTATTCATGCTGATGGTACTCTGTAGTTTGATAACCAACCTTTGCATGTGGAATTTAATGAACAAAACTGAAAGAAATTAGGGAGGAAAAACTATGAACTGCGTTGTTAATTGCTTCACAGCTGAGTGAGTGAAGCAGGATGGGCTTCTGTCTGGCCATTTTTTACTATGAAAATGTGAGAACTGGATGTTAGTGTCTTCACAAGAAATGTAGGTCTATATTTTAGCTTCGAAACGCTATAAAGTTCGCCTCAATTCGATAAGCATAGCTCTAGTTATGATTGAAATACCAGAGGATGGTAAAGCTGCCTTCCTCGTTGCCTTTCCTTTTGTTTCGCATGCATGCAGCTTTGATAATGGCCATGAGGAAATCAACTTTTAACTAACATTTCTTCTAATTTCCAATCTTGTAAGCTTTCATAAATGATAGCTACCATTGTGTTGAGATTTAATCGCTATACCTAGTTCCACGAGTAGAGTTAGACTAAGGCAATTGAGTGAAAAGTCACGATAGTTATATACGTAAAGTGGCTTCTAATTATTTAATATTGTTTTCACGAATATTTTTAAAGGCTATTAAATTGAGGGACTGGTATAGTGGAATAAAACTTAATTTCCAAATAACTTAGAGTCTAATTAATTAAAAAGGAACCAAGGGAATACTTCTAAACCTTAATTTTGGAATCTTGAGTGGAAAATGATTTAAATCCTAAAATAAATATCTTATGAATTATTAACTTGGGAAAACAGGTATAATTCTTGATTAAAACAATAAAGTCAATAAGTTTCAAAATAAAATGATACATGAACATTGAATATGTTATATTTTATACTTTAAAGTCAAACTTGATTTTAATAGTCCAAGTGATAAAGTAAGAACAATAAGTGAACATCTACAAACTATGTAGTTGATTTGGAATTATTAACTTGTCCAGGATGTAGCTGTGAGCCAAGAAACAAACCCGAGGCTCAAGAGTAATTTACTTGGATAATTGGTGAGTGTTTTCCGAATTTATGTGTTAAACTGCTTATGTGTACCTAAGTGCAATTATATGGCAAATGTGCTTATTATGAAATATTGCTAAGTGATTCATTGGAAGTGTATCTCAATTGTCCCTCGCCTTCTAAGTCGAGGGTGTACTTTATCGCACTTGGCTTAGTTGAGCTTGAAGATTGATAATTGATCAAGTGATATTGTAAGTGTGCATGACTGTAAGCCGTGTGTGTACTTTATCACGCCGGCTGAACTGGGCCCCAAAACCCTCTGTTCAATGGACTATTCGAGCCAGCAAAGGGCTTGGTCGGGTAGGACGGTAGCTTTGAGTAAGTGTTTTGGTATGCTCGAGTATTACCACGGAGTAGCAGATTATTGATATTGATATGGCCATCCAAGTGAGGGAACTGTTTATTGTTTTGGAGGTTATACGGAGAAGTTCGGCGGAGTGTGTAGTGCATTGAAGTGGCTCTAATGCGAGCACCGTATCCTTTTAAAAGTGATTGTTCAGTGAAGTGTTTCCTCAATTGCTAATGAAAGTGATTGTACAGTGAAATGTGCACTACTTGTTTATTTGTATTGATTCATGTGATTCTAAATGTTACCTGCATGGAAACCTCACGGGCGTAAGCTCACCCTTTTAGCTTTGTTTTCCTTACAGGAGTTGGAGATTGAAAAGTGATTGGATGGAATTGGAAAGTTGTTTTGGGAAATCCCATCACTATGTGTATATATTGGAGTCACGTTTTCTTTCGTATTTTAAGATGGTTGAATCTTTTTTTTGAGTTAATGTAATATTAAGAATGGATGTTTAGAACGTGTATTTTGTTTCTTTTAGTGGACAAATCTATGTTTCAAGCTGATTGGAGTGGTACTTAAGAGTGAATGTTCAGTTGTCCAATGGTAATGTTATCTCTGAAGTTAATGGGAGTGAGTGAGTCCTAGCGAGTGCCAGGCAGGCGATTCACTAACTTCTAGGGTATGCCCTAGGAGAAGGTGGGGTCGTCACAGGTTTCCTTATCAAAATCTTCTTCTAGCAGATTTCTTCTCCATTGTTTTTTCTCCTGGCAGAATAACATGCCTTATTATTTTGCTCGTTTAGTTTTTGGGTCAATCTAAAATTATTCACCTATTTTTACACTATTTTTTTGCTTTCAAAATGAATTTATTTTGTGAAAGTTGATTATTCTTAACAAATTCGTGTATATGAAAGTAATTTAAAAATTGAAAGCTTTTAAAAGAAAACCACTAATTAAGTCATCTCGATATTCTATTTACTGCAAAAAATCGAAATTATCCTCTTGATAACAAAATCAGTCTTCAATTGAAGTTTGA